CTCTGCTAACTTCATTTGGAACTGGAATCTTCCAAATATGTTTCTGTCTCCTATTAATGAGAGAACCATTTTTGGTTACGAGACACTTCTGAGGTTAAATACCTGAGTGTGTGAGAAATAAAGCAGTGCACAGCCAAAGAGCAGGAGCCTTGTGCCCAAATTCAGAATTGACTAAAGCAAAGGGAAACAGTGAAAACAGCAGAAGTTATTGCTATGATTGCTGCCTTCTTCCAGACTGCCTCCTAGTGCCTCTGTTAGGCTCTCCTTAAAGTGGGACCTAAATGTTTTTGGTAGACTGTTAGTATTTGTGGCTTGAATGAAAACCTTTAGGCAGAGAAAAAGATCCTATAGATGTTTGAATAAGGACTGTTCCTGTTCAATTTGTTTCTTTGTATTGCTAGAAAACGAAGGGATGTACAGCTGGAAAATATGGTTCCACRAGAAGAAAATAAACACATGGTTCCAGCTGGAATACATGATTTCTGACTCCTTGTCGAAGATGGGAAGCACATTTTTCTTTTCTTACCATAAAGAAGGACTCTGTTCCCGTTCATGCCCTGCTCCAAATGTCTAGTGTCCAAATGTTGCCTAGTGCTCAGAACACATCTGAAATGAACCAGCTGGTGAAACTGGGAGAGAAGGGAGGTAACTCCTGGCAAGGCAAACTTCAGACAGTGTTTGTCCAAAAGAGCAGAGTCATAATGACCCTGACCCTTCCTGGGGATTGAGGGATCCTCACTGCTCGCTGCCCAGACTCTGCTCTTCACATGACTCTGGGAAGAGGTTCACCTCTGTAAGAGCTGCCATTTCCTGGCTTCCCGGTGGCTGATAAGTTTGCATAAAGTATTTGGCTGGCAGAAATGGTGAGCTACAACATAAAGTTGCAGGATCRGAAAGGATAAGAAAAACAGGAGCAAAGGCTGACGACAACAAATATGTCTTTCTGTAACACAGGCTATTAGGGGGGCTGTGCCTCAGACAGAAAGTTATTTGAAGTTTTTGAACWGTTGTTGTCTGCTTTTTAATGTCTGTCAGAATCCTGCCCGTCTGCATCTCACCAGGGAATCCAGACTACTGAGAGGTGATAAGAAAGTGGAAAAAAATAGTAAGGTATTGAAAAATTGAGGAAGCAAAATTAGAAGTAGACTTCAATTTGTGATTAGAAAGCCAAAAAGAGCTCTCCAGGTRGTTGAGCAAGCTGCCTTTAGTTGCAATAGCTCTCCTTACAGCTTCGAGTGGCCAGCTCCTAGATTGCTTTGGTTTGTAGTCATGGATAAGCACTCCCTCTGGAAATTATTGAAAGCAGCCTGCCACATCAGCTCGCTAGCTTATAMAGTTATATTTTAATTGTGTTATTAAACCTTTCTCACTTTTATTTTTGTGTGTTTCCTTCCCCRATTCATCTGGATCAAGCTGTGCTGAAGCAGGAGTGTGGTCCTTCCTGAATTGTGCGGTTTATTTGTAATAAGAATGTAATGATGATGGGTGAAGCCCACTGCCCAGAGCAATCTGAAATTGATCTTACTCTTTCTATTAAAGAACTGTGGATGGAAGTGTGGTAGGGGAATACCAGAGAAATGTCCTTTAGCAGTAGGGATAGAATTTTGCTCCKGTTTTATTGGGTGTAAAACATCCAGACACAGGTTAATAGGCAGAGGTTATAATCTCTGTTCTCACCTTAACTATTTTGTTCCTTTCCCAATCCTTTTCTCCTTCCTCCAATTTGAAATTCATCTTTGTCTGGCTCAAGGGACTCATTTAGGTGGGTTGGCTTAACACTTCCATCAAAAAGGTTATGCTAAGCAGCTGAAAAAATTAAATAGACTCTTTTGGTTCTAGAACGAGCCAGACAGAAYTATTACCAGGACTGGGGGTGGGGGAGGAACTGCAGATGCTACTGGTTTTTTTTTTCCTTTTGAAGCAGTGTACACTATGTTGTTGGAGTAAATTAYTGAATTTGAGCATTTGGTTCCCCTCACACACTGCTGTGACATACCTCAAATGAGGTGCCAGACAAGTGAACTCTGGACACTTTTTGGAAGGTTTTCTGGCAGTGGAATAGATCACTGGTTCGTTAACACAAGCAAAAAATTAAATAAAACAAATTAATGATTTGATGTAATAAATTGATTAAATAATACTGCTAAGCCYGGACACACCCAAATTCTCAGCTGTGCACATGTAACTCAGATTCTGAGGGAAACTTTTACTACACATAGACTCATGTATAGGGTGTTGAACAATGAGAGTTACTGGCTCATACCTGAATGAACATATTTTGCCTGAATATTTYAAGATATTTTTAGTTTTCCTACAATAACAAATGATCCTCAGCTCTTTGATCAACTTGATATTACAGCAGAAGAAAAGAAGGAAAAAAAGAGAAAGGAGTTGCCATCTGTCATCTGTGGCTAATTATTTCGAGCCCTACCTTGTTTTATACACTGCAGCACACTATTTTGGGAGTTGTTATCTGAGAAGTCTTCTACTCTGCAAGAGTATAAATGAGTTCACCTCTAGCAAGTTCCCCACTGCTCAGCATGTTGTGCCGTCATTTCACACAACCTTCCTCCCAGCTGAATGTCATAATTTATTAGTTCAGTATTTTATCCTGCTCCCCTGGCTGCACTGCCTTTTCAGTGTGAGACTCTGTTTTGTCACCATTTTTGTGGCTKTATGGGAAAGGAGAGGGAATGGGATCACATCCCTCCAAATTCTTGTTACCAGWCCCACACCTTGGCACTGGGTCTTGGGTGGATTTTGGAGAGAGCCACTAAATGAAGGAGTCTCTGAAAATGTGAGGGGACCAATTCAGGCAGCAGGTGTTCATCTGAAAAGCAGCTCTCACTATTTGGGTGGAAAGCAATGCACAATATCCTCCTTCAGAGGGACCCAGGAGCCCTCTGATTCCATCAACCCTGCAGATGGAGCCCCCAAAGGACTGGACAGAGTGAGGAAGCAGATTCATTACTCCAGACTTTCCCAAAAATTCCTCCTGTGTCTTAACTTGAGGATTATACTAACACAAGCTTTTTTTTTTTTTTTTTTTTTTTTTTTTTTTTTTTTTTTTTTTTTTTTTTTTTTTTTTTTTTTTTTTTTTTTNCTTGGCATCTTGTAACTGAACTACTTCAGCATTCTGGGTTAATCAAAACTCAGGATTTTGCTTTAACTCTCTTGCTGATACTGTAACTGCCTTCTTATTAGTTTTTGAAGGTTAAGGTGTATCAGGCTGGATAAAATAGCACCCATCCTCATTTTGTTAATTTGTTAATGCTGACATTCATCACGACTGACTGTCATAATGCTGACATACTATTTTTTATTTTACCAAATGAAAGTTTGGGTTCTTTATTAGGTCCTTCAGTAAGGTGATACTTTGCAATACAACTGGAAAGCAAGTTTCCAGATATAAAAATCCAGATGAGTTGAAACAGTGCGATTAAGGTCTGAGTTAATCAATAGGAAAGAAACAAGACAGCTTTCAGGAAAGACAAAAAAAATCTCTAAAAATTTAGATTCTTTTCAAAAAGCAGGTAGGAAAATGAAAACTATCTTTCAATGGCTGCATATTTTGACTTTTTATGAAACAGCTAAATATCCTGAGCTAAAATCCTGGATATATGCTTTCTAAATTGTAGTACACTTGAAGATAAATTGTGGTATTGTCCTCTACAAGAGTAAGCTTTTTAAAATTTCGTTAAGTAATGACTACAATTAGAGAGTGATGGTAAGAAAAAAATGATATTTTTTAGTGAGCCCTACAGAAAGATGACTAAAGTATCATCACAAGACTCAGAGCTTCCCCATGGACATCCATTTAAAAAAAGGTAAGAACCAAACTCAGTGATTATGCTGTGGATGTGTGAATTTGTTCCAATTTTAAAGGACTTCCAAATATCCAACCAAGTTGGAATTAGGGTCAAAAATTTTGTAACAGAGTTTTATATGCCTGGATTATATTTCACTTCACTGGTCATCTCTTGATTTTAGCAAGGACAAGCAGCAGAGCAAAGATATTTTTGCATCAAGTTCTTCTAAACCCAGGTAAGAGCAGATTGTATGCAAAATCCCGGGGGACTGAAAACCAGGAATTCAAACCACTTTTCCAAGATTTCGGTTTTTCTCTCTCCACAGAGTGTAGACTGTATGAAAAAATACCAAAAGAACCTCACTTATGCCTTTCTTACATTAGCAGCACTCTTAAGATGAAAAATTTCACTCATTATTCAGAGAAAATCAATAGGCTGCAGGAACCAATCTGAAGCTTAATCTGTATTTTTTAACTTAATTACTTTCTTTCAAATATATTACAATATTTCTTATGTCACTGGAAGCTATAGGACTAGTGAATGACATTTCTTTTACATACCTGCCACTTGAAATAAAAATAAAGTCAAGCAAAAAAGAATAGACAGTGCATTCAGGAGAAAAGTAGAAGAGAATTTAAGCAAAATACGGAAAAAYGAGTCATTATTTAAACTTATACTACATGCTGCATAGAAATATAAACCAAAGTCAGTCACAACTCCCCCATCCTTTCAGTATTCTGCACCTATAGCATTGAAAAAAATCCTTAGTTCGGGAGACCCAAGAATAATGTAAACCTGATAAAGGAAAGAGAATATATACATATCAGCAATGAAAGGTGGGTGAACTGCCCAGGTAACTGTGGTATCAACAGTGAAATGCAACACATCTGTGCTGACAAACCACTCCATCAGAAAAAGAGATTAACTGGCAGCAGGCAGCTGTGGTTCTTGCATCTTCTTAAACAACTTTCAGTTTTTATGCATGTTAATAACAATTATTRCAGGCTTGGCTGAAGCAAGCATCTAGAGTACCATAATAAACAGATCTGCTGTTACTCCCCTAGTCCAGAAAACACAGTGGAACTGAACAATGAGAGACCACAGACTGACATGAAGAAATGAAACATTTTTTATGGACATCAGAAAGTTAGAAAGAAAGCATAACTTCACAAAATATCACTTGTTAGTTACCTGTCCCAGAGAGTAGGTGAAGATTTTGCGAGCCTGCCCTGGAGAATTCTAGGTTGCCATAGGCAGGTTGGCACCCAGGAATTTCGTACCCTGTAGCATGAATAGAGGATAAACCATGGCTAGGTATGGCTCATAAGACATATGAGTGACAACGTAGCTAGAGCTGCTGCATATTAGAAAGCTATGGCATAATTTGGTACTAATTATTATTCAGGATATCTCACTTTAAAGCAGTATTAAAACTATAAAACAGAGTGATGCTACAGCACACACATTTAGTAACTTCCTTGTATGGCTACTGTAGGTCAGAATAAACATTTACACTTGACCTTGTGATGGCTCTGAATGGCTGCTACTCCATSCATTTTACTGGAGAAGCATTTGGGCTTAAGATTTGTGAATCAAACCCTCGTGTTTTTTGCACTGTAAATACATCAGCTTAAACAAATTTATGTTAGGCTGAAAGAGGGTCATCAAAATTCCTTCTGAGCACCATAGTGAGCACATGTTCACGGTGTTAATTGAATCTGGGCTGAGGTTCAAGTCCTGCATACCAGGTTTGTGCTTATCCACCAGCAGCAGAACAATAGCTGCAAAATGTTTGCTGGGAATGAGAAGCACAAAGAGAAACAATCTGAACTAGCAAGGAGCAGCTATGAATAACACACAGCAAAAGCAGATCCTGGAGAAGGACGAGGCAGGCAAATTAGCAGTGGGAACTGTTGCCCAACATTAGCATCAAGCAATGCTGGTAAGATTCAAAACAGTCTGTGCAGTCCTTAGTTGAGAAAATCCTCACTGAAGTCAAAGGTGGTTTTTCCTGAGTAAACTCTGAGTAAGGACTATGGTATTTGGCCATGCAGAATACCTCATACAGTATTGCTTTATTCCTTTACAATATTGGAAAAGCAACACAACATGCCTGGAAGGACAAACTCACTAAAAAAATCCAGTTTTTCTTCATACAARCATATCCATATTTATGATCCAGAATTTTTGCATAAGCTTTCCTTGTGGTCAGCGATCACTACACATGTAGAAAATYCTACCCTCCAGTATTCACCATCAATTAGCAGTGGGTTCTGCAAAGTAGGGACCTTCTGGACCATGAACAAATCTTTATATATTTCAGGAGGGCTACAGGGAGCAGCAGAGAATCTCAGTGTTTATGAGAAAGGATAACCCTGCTGAGGCTCTTGCCACTGCTCTAAGTCAGCCTTGGGTTTGGCTTCATGTCAAGAGCTACTGGCAGCAAGATTATGGTCTTTGAGACGCTCTGAGGAAAAGCTGTGAGTGAATTCCAGCACTTTAGTTACACCACTGAGTTGTACCTAAGGAAAGAACATTCAGGTATCTTTTAACTTCTTGCTTACTGGACTTGGATTAAGTATGTGAAGACACTCAGGGAAGTCATTAAATATGTAAGGACCCAAATATTAGGTGTTGCCACCACATGAAATTACAGCAATGTCAACTTTGAAATCAAAGTGGGGGTGAGAAAAAAATCTCAGGAATATAACACCTCAGCTCTGTTGGATCTTCAGTGAACTCTCAGTATTACTTTGGATTACGCATTTTTCAAAGCTTTTTTTTTTTTTTCTCTCAAACTGCAAATGTCACAATCAACGGGTGTGTACACATTTAATACACATGCTTCTGTGGTACTTCACTGTGCTTTTTCATTCTCAAATATGGATGTTGGGAAAACAGCCAGTTGTAGGAACTCAGTTTTGGAAATGGTCTTTACCTGGCTCTCCATTTCATATTTGCATGCTTTTAGATACAAAATTGTAAACTGCTCCTAAAAATCATCTGAGAAATCTCAGTTTTGAAAAAAAAACAAAAACCGACTGAACAAACCAGGGAATTTAGCCACAGGTTTTTCCAGAATGAGCAGAGGTTTTCCAAGCCAATATGTTTTGCATATTTCTCTACACTTTGCTGACAAACCCTCCATAGGGTTCTGATGAAATAACAAAACTTAAAAAACCTGAGATGGATTAAAGGAAAACATTAGGCTTTCCAAGCCTGCAAAATTAATTAAATTTGGGCTCTTGGTGCAAAGAAGCCATTTGAGCAAGGAGAAATCTYTGCTTCCCTCAGATCCATTACCAGTTCTCCTCATTAATCTAATCTATGTCACACCTTTCACTGATACATAGCAAATGTCTTTGCTATAGGAAATCTTGACAAATATTTTAAKTCTGTTAGGCTGTGAGATGCTTTGGCAGAGTTGGGAGTGGTGTAAATTCCACTTTAGTTGTTTGTTCAGTGTTTTTCCTGACATCTTTTCCTTASTAAGTCCCATGTAATTGCTCCATAAATGAGCTAATACAGAGAAAAGCTCTCTGCTCTAAATGTGGTGGATCTTTCAAAAGCTCCCCAAAGGGATTTAATAACATCCTGTCTCACATAATCAGTGTCAGTTGTAGTCAGTCTAATCCTATTCTCATATGCAAGGTTGAAAATAATTAGTAATGGTAAGATTTATTTGCCTGATATTAAACCACAAAAATTAATTTGTCAGCCCCTGTAGTTTACATGGGATATTATTTTAGCATTGGTAAACAAGAAATCAGTAAATAAACACTTTTGTCTAAAGCGACTGCAAATTTTAAAGAAAACCAAAGAGGAAAAGATCCCCATGTTGTTATTCTGTTGCTTCCTTTCTGAAACATTTGTAAAAAAWTTTTAAATATTGCAAATAAGAAACCAGCCACTTTAAAAAAAAAAAAAAAAWWAAATTCATAGTCAGTCTGGAAAATTAGTAGTTTACACAGGAAAAATCAGTCCCAAAAACTTGATGGTAAAGTTTTTCAGATCATCAAATTTCAAAACTACTTTTTATTATGCCAAGGCATGATAAAGTAACTCATTTTCCTCTTCTTTCTCCAGAGGTTCCCTTATWCTGATGCAATTCAAACTGACACCTGTGTCAAGTGAGGTCAGAATTTGGACACATTGTTGTAATAGTCCGTGTTTGCTTGTCTTGTMCTAGAACACGCAGTATGTTACTTTAAATATTGTCACAGACGATACTTGCAGACCTAATTAAAAGCAAATTAAAAAAAAAAAAAAGACGTTGTGGGTTTTAAGATTCAGGTTTTATTTTCCCATTATTCTACTCTGATTTAATTGGTGATAAACTGATTTTCCCAAGTGGGGTCTGCTTGGCTCCTTGTTGTGTGATCTCTCAGCACCTGAGCCTTTCTTTATACTTTCTGTTCCCTCCCTGTCCAGTTGAGAAGGGAAGTGCAWGGGCAGCTTTGCTGAGCTCCTGGTGTCCAGCCAAGGTCAACCCACAACAGGACAATATATATGTGTTTTGCAAATGTCAAATGCAAATYTGGATTATTTTTCTGAAATAATGTGTTTTTCAGAAGTTGGAGAATTTTGTGGTTGCTCCACTTGTGAGTGGAAGACTTAGCAAGCAGATTTGAGCAGTCTTTAAGCAAAAGTCACTCCAAATCTTAYATCTCCTAAAGGGAGAAGGATTTTCTGTAAAACAGGAAGGGATGCATCCTGCTCCAATTTTAGCTTAAAGTCAGTGATTTTTGGAACGTGAAGGAGATTTGAAAGTCACCCTTAAACTGGGTTGTGCTATTATGATTCCTGTATTGCCCAATTTAGCCCTATTTTACCCCGCTACGAACAACTTAAGCACAAGAACTGCTATTTTTGCTTCCATTAACACCATAAAGCTATTTTAAGGGCATGCTTTTACAAACACTAATAACCTGAGATGAAACATTGACAGAGCAAGCTGGAAGAACCACAGGGACACCTTGGAACGTCCTGTCACGACTCTACCTCTGCATCCCATCCTCTCTGAGCAGGCACGTGGTGCTGATGCTGATTTAGCATCACAGCCTTGCAGGATGCTGTCAGCTCTGCTTTCCTTCTCCTACTTTCCACCAGTCATGCCAGTGCAGGTAATGGCTGTCATCTCCATGGAACAAAGGCTGGAACTAATAAAAGTGTCAAACAATCCATTTTTGGTGAGGGGGTGGTAGTTTTCTATTCCTGGAGTTATCAGAACTATCCATGACCACGGCATTAAATAGTGTAAAACTGCTGTAGGAACCACAACAATGTCTCTTAATGAATACTTTAAATATAACTCACTAATTGAAAACCAAGGCACCATGGAACCGTGCACCCAGGAGTTGGGCTGATCTGAATAAGTGGTGTTTCCAACAGCCCTGCAGTGCAGACAGAGGTGCTGACAGTGTGTGTGAAAATTCAAGGAGCCTGGGAATGCCCATGAAGCAGAAAAGGGAGGAAGATGAAGATATGTGTAATCAGTGAAGTTAATACCTATTGTATGACAGTGTAGGACTGCAGAGATGTTGCTCTGCCACCTCAATTTAACTCTTTTTAGGAGAGGGTGTTTCCCTGCAAAAAGCATGCTGGGTCGCCATATTTCCCTTATCTACCTATTTATCCTGTTTGATCCTATTTTTATCCTATTACCTACCTATATTTATCAAACCATGTGGGTGGCCTTTTGTGAGGTAAATGTGTATGAATATGCATACACACGTGTATATATATATGTACATACTTTAAAACCACTACCCTCAGGAAATGTAKGAGGAAAATAGCACAAAAAGGCTTTGAACTGCTACGTTTAGGCTATAAATACGTGAATGAATAATTTTCACTCTATTAGGCGGGTTGACAGAGCAGTTGTGGTAGAGTTGGAGCTGTTTGCAATGTTTGGTTTTGTTTGTTGACGCCTTTAAATAATTGTGTTGCCAAAACACAAATTATATTTCATTCAGACACAAGGCACTCAGTTCAATAGAAGCGTATGAACAAAATATAGGGATTTATGACTAATGAATTAATGAACTTTCTGTTCTCAAAATGCTAAGATGACTTACTGTCTGTATGAGAACATAAGCGAAATTTAGTTTTCCCTAAATTTCTAATAATTAACAACAGGTTAAAGCCCTCAAAAGTATCTATGGAAATAGACAAYATTTTTCCAAACTTTTGCTTTATTGCATTGATGGGGAACTCTAGTTTGTATATGAATGTCCAATATTGGCTTTAATCTAGTGGGTTATTTCAACAAATTCCAAGAT